AAAATGAGTTTGAACTTCAAGAATATAAAGGTGCCTATAAGGAAGAATTTGATAGTGAGTATATTATCAACAATGAAAAAAGTTTTCAAAAAAGTTTTGATTTGCTAAATGTTTTATTAAAAAACTAACTTAAATTTGGAAACAAAGAAAATGGAATTAATTAATGAACCCGAAAAATATATCAAAAACAAAGGCCAATTAATTATTACTTACTGCAACTACGGCAATCGTTCAGGTCAAGCAGTCAAAGCATTAAGAGAAAAAGGTTATTTAAACTCTTTCGTGCTGGAAAGAGGAGTAGAAAATTATTTTTAAAAAGCACTAAAATTTTAATTATTTCCCTCCTTTACCTCTCTTTTCTTGAAAAGAATAATATTCGCTCAGAAAATAATTTTCTAAAAGTGAAATTAACTCCTCTCTTTCCTTTTGAGGCATTTTTTCTCTAAAATATTTTTTAGTTTTTTCATCAACTTCTTTGCGGGCTTTTCTTCTTTCTTCCTCCCGTAAACTCCAATCAGGGATGTCTTTATTTAATTTAAGAAAGCATTCAATCAGTTCGCTAACAAAATTATTATTTTCTCTTTTATCTAATGGCAACTTTTCGATTAGTTTTTTTCGCAATGGATAATGAGTATCTTTTTCTAACTCCTGATTAACTTTTTGATTTTCTTTTTCTAGTTCTTCATTCAATTCTGCTAATTGGCTATTTAAATCATGGATATTTATCTTATTTTCATTGTATTCTTTTAGTAAAATTTGGAATTTTTCCTCTCATTCTTTTACACTAAACCATCACTTTCGCCTACGGTCTAAATTCTTCTTTATTTTCCCTTCCAAAGCCCGACGACGAATATCTGGATATTTTTTAGGGTCAATAGACATGCTCCGTTTTATTATTTGAGAAAAATCAAAATTATTAAAGTCAATGTTGGCGATTTTTATTGCTTCTCAACTAGCCTCTTCTACTTTTCCGGATTCGACAGTGCGATTTTTTTCTTTATCTTCCATGATTGGTTCATCAGGAAAATCAAAATTGAAATAACAGCCTAATCGAAAACACCAATTAACAAATTCCAAATTTTGTCTTTTTCGGGTTTTTCTTCGCCCGCAATATACCATTGAGAGCTAAGAGTTAAGCGTAATGACTTAGTTTCTGAAAAAAATTCTTTCCTTTCTTCTTCGCTTTTTTTTGCACAATAATTCAAAGTTTCATCAAAAAAAGGCTTCTGGTTAATTTGCTGGTGATTAAAGAGTTTTTGATAAAGTTCTTCCTGAGGACAAAAATCATTAAAAAATTTTCATAATTTTTCTATTTTTCCACTACCATATTCACCACTGCTTTTATCATCAAAATATTCAATTAATACTTTTTGATAAGTTTCTTCATTTCCCACTAAATCGACCACAAATCCTTGGTCTTTTTCTGAATACTTTCGATTAACCCGCGATATTTTTTGAAAAAAATTGTGGGGGGCGGTGATTTGTTGGTCTAAATAAATCCTTTCCAAGTTTTCCATATTAAACCCGGTGGTTAATTTGTCAACCACGATGGCAATATTTAAGTCTGATTGAGGGTCTTTAAAATTTCTAATATTTTCCTTTTCTTTACCGATAGCATTAATAAGTTCCGATGATTGATAATGATGTTGCTTGCTAACAATTAAACTGGGCTTATTTTGATAATGAGGGTCTTTTTGTAATTCTTTAAAAAGTCTATGAGCAACTTCAATATTATAAGCCATATACATTACTTTGGGCTTCCCTTTGAGATAATGCCGGCGAGAGAAATTTTCATAGTCTTTTTTAAAAAAATCACACATTATTGCAATTCTTTGGGGGCTTTCAAAAAAAAGGTCTTTTCTACTTTTCAGACTTTTTCTTTTGTCAATAAAAGTTTCTTCTTTTTCTGGGAAAGTTTTAGCAAATTTTTCTTCATCTCAATGCGTTTCTGGTAAAAATTTGTAGGCTTCTTCGTAAATTATGTTAACAATTATTTCATTTTGGATGGCTTGGTTGGCTGAATAAGTATGAATAGGGGGGCCGATTTCTTCATAAGTTTTTCCTTCAATAGGAGTAGCGGTGAAGCCTAGAAAAAAAGCCTGGGGAAAAACTCGTCGCATTTCTCAGGCTCAACTTACTTTTTTGGTTTCATTATCGGCAATTAAATTTTGCGAGCGGTGAGCCTCATCAATAAAAACAAAAACTCCTGCTTTATTCTCAAAGGTTATTTTATTTTCTTTTAAGTCTACTAAATCCTGAAATTTCTGAACGAGAGCGAAAATTATTTTTCCTTGATTAGGTTTTTCCAACTCCTTTTTTAATTTATTAATGTCTTCAATAATAACTAAATCTCCAAGTGTGAAAAAGGTACCCTCATATTCGCGAAAGCGTTCGTCGTAAATTTGTCGGTCAAGTTCGTTGCGGTCAGTAATTACAATAATAGTGCAGTCAGAATGTTTACGGCGTAATTGGTTGGCTAAAAAGGCCATGGTATCAGATTTACCACTACCGGTAGTATGGTTATTCACTCCTCCTTTAAGGGAAGATTTCTCCATAACTCGTAAAGTTTCTTTAACGCAATCATATTGGTGATAACGAGCAATTTTTTTTATTTTTTCAGAATTGAAAACTATGTAATTTTGAATAATATCTAGAATGGTTTCCGGAGTAAAGAGGTTGTTTTTCTCGGATTTTCAAGGAGTATAGTGAAAAATTTCGCTAGTAGTGGTGCCAACCAAACGCTCATAATTATCACCATCGCCATTACTTAAAACATTAAAAGCATTAAGGAGAAAAAGAGCCGGTAAATACCTTTAATAATCTTTTATTTGGCGAAAGGCTTCTTCTTTTCATTTTCTTCCGGCTCGGGCTTGGTCTTTAAATTCCAAAACAACCACGGGCAAATAATTGTTAACATAATTTACGAAGAAGCCTACAAATTTTTACCAGAAACGCATTGAGATGAAGA